TTTATATTATGAAATTATATAAAACTAAAGTTACATTTAAACAATTCTTTTAAAAATTTTAAATTTTAAATTAAATATGAGTTGTTTATGGCTTTTTTTTTTTATTTTTGACTTTTTATATAAAGATTTTTAAATTCCAAAATTATAGATATGGTTATACGTGCCAATATTTTTATGTTAGGTATATTTCTTAACTTTCAAAATTTATAAAAAAAAATAAAATAAAAAAAAACCATTAGAAAGTTTAGATTAATGCTTTCAAGTTTATAGAGTCTTATGCTATTATAATATATAGATATTGATAGATAAATATAGATATAAATTATGTTTTAAATTTTTAGGATGAGTTAATAATTGAGCTCAATTTTAACATAGTTATTGAGATTTTGCATGGTCTGATTATTAATATGTAAATTATACTATGTAGTGTATATCATCTCTTTGAGATTTGGTGAAAATACAATTAATTTTATACTTTTGACATAATTTCATTAAATGAGCATTTATTTTGAGATTTTTTTTCTTTAATGAATTAATTTAAAATGTTTATATTTTTAAAATAAAAAAATACTACATGAATCTCAAATAATTTTTTTAAATACAAATCAAAAAGAAAATTATTAAAGACAAAATAATTAAAAAAAATAAATCACTTTTTTTATACTGATATCAAACTTATCTGAAATAGTGACTTTATTTTCACGGAAAATATTTTATACTTAAAGGGCTTGGCTAGTCTCAGATCGAACTAGAAGATACTGTTGGGTCTATGAAGGCCTACCACAGGTTTCCGTTTCGATAATTTGAAAGATGGGTACTGTTGGGTTCGTAGAGGCCTACCACAAGTTCTGTTTCGATAATCTGAACCGTTTAATGTGTAAAACTCATTGAGTACTATATACCTTTAAAAAAAACATTTTGATCAGATATCGATAACTACGTGATCGGATCAGTTTTGTATAAAAAAAAATGGACAATGAAAAAATAAGCAGTTGATAAAAATTTGATCCAATGAAATAGTTATCAATATCTAATCAACGTAATTTTTTATAGACATATAGTACTCGACGAGTTTTAATATTAAACGATTTAAATTATCAAAACAGAATCTATAATAGGCCTTTTCGGATAGAACAATACTCTCTAATCTTGGGAAGCCATTCCCATACTTAAAAAACCTAGTTTCTATAAAAACAAACTAAGGTGGTGTTTGGGAACTTGGTTCCCAAATTTTCTTCTCATTTTTTTCATTAAAAGACAAAAGTTTTGCAAAACTAAAAAAAATAAATACAAACAAAATATCACATCTAACTCCATAATCATTTCACTTTTTCTCTCACAAACATCACATCCAATCACAAAAAAACCAAACTATCTTTCCAAACACTAAAATTTTTTTATCCAATAATATCCTACAACTAAAAAAGCCTACATAAAAACCCACTTCCCAAACACCCTCTAAGGCTTGGTTTGACATAACTAAAAAAAGTTATAAAGTCATTATCCTATTTAAATCACATTATTTTATTTAAATCATATCACTTCTCTACTATATCACTTCAAACCCAACTTATACTTAACTCATATTTCATAAAAAATTAAAAAGTACACTTATTTAATTTATCCCAAACAACCCCTCAAAATACTTCGTAGAGAAATGTGTCGTCAAACTAAAACGGACAGCTGCAACATCTAACTAAACCTCGTATAGAAGAACAAAAAGGAAATACACACGGAAAATGCTAGAGGTCCCAATTTTTCTACCAAATAAATGATCAAATGTTTCAGATGGGTGTGAGGCGCACAAAATTGCGGATCCCACAGCATGTGAGGCATTTGGTCATTTATTTAGTAGAAAATTTGATGTCCTAGCATTGCTCAATACATATATATATATATACAATACTTGGCGGCCAAAGCAAACGCCTTGAACTTTCTTCTTCATGTAATCCAATTTCTTAAGCAGATTCAAGAGCTTGCAGATCCAGAGGTCGTTGGAGTGAGCGTCGCTGCAACTTGCGATGATAACGAAGTCGTCGTAGCCTCCGATCTTGCCATCGTCGCGGGAAGGGGGTGACTAGAGGCAGGAGGGGAAGGTTGAGGGAGGTGTTGCAGTGGCAGAGAAAGAAGGAGGGCTACCCGCCGGTGGTGTGGCCGGCGGAGTTGTAGAGAGAGAGGGTGAGTCTGAATCTATAATTTTGAGTCAAAGCGTAATTTTTTTAATTTTTTATTTTATTTTAATGCGGCGGTAAAAGATAAATTGATATGATTGTAAAAAAAATTTAGGATAAAATTAAAATTATTAAAAGTCGGGATGTAATTGATCATCAAAACAAAATTTGGGAATAAAATGAAATTTTCTCAAAATTCACAATATCTACTTTCCATTTGGGTTTCGTTTGGAACCAATTATTTTAATAATTTTTTAGTTAAAATATAAGGTAAAAAATTAATATGTTTAGAATGATTTTTTAATTTTTTATGAAAAAATGTATAAAAAATAAAGAGAAAAAAAATCTTTAATTTTTTTATTGCATGTTACAAATTTTTTAATTTTTTTAGTAATATTTTAATTTTTAAACTAAAACAAACGAAGCAAGATTGACAAGTAGTTGTAGATGCTAAATTACATTAAAGTGGCTAGGTAGACATGGATAGGTGTTGGTGGTTGAATCCCTCTGCTAGCCAGGGAGCAAGCAAGAGATAGTTAAGAGAGGGGCATGAATTGGTTGAATCCCTTTGTTTGACTATACATGCAGAAAAAGTGCACAGAAAAATTAGGGTATAATTTAAATTCATTCTAAATATGATAAAAACTATACTTGAAATGAATCTGAATTATGTATTTTATTTGCAGATAACTTTTCCAAAAAATTGAAATGTATTTTGTCATTATTTTCTTCCAAACCAACCCAATCTTTTGGCAGTAATGATGGTGGCCATGCCATGGTGGACCTCCACCTCATTACAGCTGCTGCCTACCAAACATGTAAACTACAGATGAATTGATTTTGGGCCACCCTTGCAGCGTCAGTGCCACAGTGCTTCACTTGACTCAGATTCTTCAGAAAAGAGTTACTCTGTGAGCCCCTGGAAGTGTTTGATGGCAAGGTTGTACATTCAACAATGATAGAGATCATTAATTTTGGAGGTCTAAAAAGACCACTAATGACATGACACTCGATAAAAAAAGAAAAAAAATACAACACCAAGGCCAAAACATCAAATCATTTCTGGTGGGGTTCACTGCCACATCATTAGTGATAGCACTAATTAGTGTTCCCACTCATTTTCTGTTATACATTATGTGCATTTCAAGACTTGGAAGTGTGGTCTTTTGTGGCATACAATAATTTACTAGGGTCGTACAATTCTGTAGCAGTGTTTGATTACTAGATCACAACCGGCCTAGCCAACCACCACAATATACGTACTGTCAATAGTGTGGCAAAATACAGACTAATCAAAACTAATGTGGAATCTATAACTATTTAAACCTTTGGGAAACAAAAATGCTCAGGGGTCATGCCAAAAGGAATATACACTCTAAAGCCATGTTTGATTCACAACACTAATAGTGAAGTATTAATAATTCTATAAAATTAGTATAGTATTAATTATCCCTCCCCTACCCCGTTACTAATAATCCTACAAATTTATTGGATTAATTATCCATTAAATTAATAATTCTAAACAAAAATGTCAAAACAAACATAGCATGATTGGCCCACGGATTAATAATTCCAATCCCATGTTTTAATCTTTCCAATCAAACATGCCCTAAAAGAAAATAGCACATACAATCAAACATGCCCTAAAACAAAATAGCACATACATTTTGGAGGTAAGTGGCCTTCAAGTTTCTGAAAATGAGCTTTTCCAGATTTAAGAAGATTTGGTACCAAATGGAGCAGTGAACTCATCATCTTCACCGCTCATAACAGAGGTCACCATCAAGCAAACTCGCTCTAGAGCTAGCTTCCATGCACGCTTTAAACAACTCCATGAGGAGTATAATGTCATGCCCTGAGAATTTCTGTGACACAAAGAGTAGCGTTTGAGGTGTGCCAAAGGCGCTGGAAGGTTCCGGAAGGTGTGAGAACGAGCTAAAATATGCTGGAAGGCTCTAGAATCTGGTGGAAGGGTCCGGAGTGGCCTAGAAGATTCCGAAATATGGTGGAAGCACCTTGGAGGGTCTAGAAGAGTCTGGATGGGTCTAAAACATCCTAGAATATCATAGAGAAGCCTACCATGTATTAGGCTAGTATAGAGAATTCTAGAAGGTAGTAGAAGGATAATTGTCCTAGATATTTTTATGGCTTGGATCAAAATGATCCTAGCCATCCATTGAGGAAGAGGATGGCTATATAAGGGGAGGAGTCTCATTTGCAGAGGACAAGAAGAGAGGAGATCCAAGAGAGCTCTAAGAGTAAAACACTTGTAAGGGTGAGAGACGACCAAGTGGGCATCTAAAGCTACACGGTTGGCTTGAAAAATCCAAAGCCTTGACAATAAGGAACCAAATCATATGAATTTTTAACAGAACAAGAACAATAATTCAATAGCATACCTTTTTTTTTCCTCCTTCCATTATTTATTTATTTTTTATTTTTATTTTTATTTTCTGGGTACAAAATAATATACAAGCAACTCTTGCAAAACACCATCCAAATATGAAAATTTCCATCCGGGAGCCTCTAATCCAATGTTGTTTTGTTTTATTTTATTTTATTTTTCCTGGGGACAAAATAAGAACTTCATATACAGACCATCCAAAAATGAAAGTTTCCACACATTGGGGAGCCTCTAACCCATTATTGTATATATAGCATTGACGGCACACATGTTTCCAATGTGCCAGACATTTGACTCGAGTCAATCTTCAATGAGTTCATAATTTAGGGAAAAAATTACCATCATCACTCGATGTTTCTTGGGCATCAGCCGTAGTTTTAGTTCTTTTGTCAATGACAACAGTTACAGATTGAACACATTGTACAAGGGAAAGATAGTTCATCTATTATTAACCATTATTAATTCCAGTTTTATGTACCTAGTATTATAATGTGGAGGATAATTTCACCCACATATTGTTGAGAAGGGATACATCAGGAAAATGCTTGAAAGATGGGATAAAATTAAAAATACAAAAGTAAAAATGTCTCTTCATCCTGCAAGCAATGCAACATCTAAGATATTATTCACGAAGCCCCAACCCTATCACGAGGAATCAGACGTAGCTCTGAACCATGTTTGAGGAAGACATTGCCTGGGAAAAGCAATAAAAATTGAGTAAATTTAATCATTTATATTGTAAACAATGGACAAACAATATTGATGCTCAGTATCACAAGTACAAATTCTCATAGTAACATTATCCCCAACTTCTGGAGCAGTCACATAAAATTTATATTGATATTAATAAGAGCACCTTGTCGTATTAGATGTATGAAACAAGTACCAGTAAAATTCTTTTGGACATTATTCCGTATTGCCTAATAAAAATTAGTCAAACAACAAATGAATAAGAACAACATTGTGCAGGCCATAATATCACAAGAGTTCAAAGCAAAAGTGAACCCAATACACAACGGGAGAAGTTATTTGGTGGTCCCAAGGCATGGAGCATGATTAGTGGAGGGAGTGAGACTCACGATTTGGTGCATTGTGACTTGTTTGAAAGGACTGAATGATAACGATAGGACAGCACGGTTCAAAGAAAAAGCAAACCCAATACACAATGCAGGCATTGTCAATTGCTTGAAAAGGACTTTAGATAAATGGAACCCAATAATTAAAAGAGACAAAAATATCAAGGCTGCCCAATGGCCATAACAGGCATTGTAATAATTCCTTCCATAAATGAACAAAATTTAAAGCAGATCCATCAGATTTAGATGCCAATAGTGTTGATGAATTTTTTTTTGTTGTTTTAAATATGAAATACTAAAAGGAAATAATGAAATACTAAAACCATCAAAAACTATCAATGATACATTATAAATTAAATCATTCAGCATGTAATCGTAAAATCATCAATGATATGTTTCCTTGAAAAGGATTTAGCATTCTTAAACTCAACCTAGCAATGAAATGTAAAGCTAACAACGTACAACTACAAAAATTATGGGAAAGGTTCTTGTTTGCACTCCCCTCCCTCTCCCTCCTAAATAATGTAAGATTTTGTCAATATCTTAACGAGATGCACTCATCTTACATAGAAATCACCGAGGTGATCTAGGAGCTGATAACAGTAAACAGACATCCCATTAATTACCCAGCCCATGTGAGACAGAAGAACTACACCTGTCCAGGAGCCAATCCTACTTTAAGATTTCCAAAGTCCAAACAACTTGTTTACTTACAAAACAGAAATAAATAAACCGCAAGAAATAAAAATAAAGGCAGACAGTAATATAGAGCAGAAATGCAGATGTGGACACCAGACAAATTTTAAAGTAGGACAAGGACGTGGCAAATTACAAAAATATATGTTCATGCAAAAAAGTATGCCATGTCAAGCTGATATATAATTTCTGCTTGGTTTTGTTTAAATAACTATACTAACAATTGCATAACATCAAAGATGAAGCTCAATGCCCATTATATAGATGATTTTGTACAGGAAACATGTTATCAATTTATCAATGTTTAAACAAATGAATGATAGCAAATATAAAAAGGGTCCTGCTAATGACCACCCATTGGGCCACTAGGCGTTCGTTAAGAACCAAATAATACCAAAAAAGTTAGAATTTCTAAGAAGCACGGACACTTCTAAGAAGGTAACGTATCTGTGTTGTATCCGTGGCAGAGACTGACACTCTTTGGACACTTTACCGACATGTTCCGACACTCTTCAAAACATGTCATATTTTTAAATACCCGGAGGACACTTTTTGGACACTTGGAAGACACACGTGTATCTTTTAAACACACACATCTATCTATTAGACACATGTGAAACTAACTATAAGCTGTGTTACATGGACTCGGCACTCTGGGGCGAAGTACCTGTGTCGACACGACACGACACGACACGGGTGTGTGGGATCTGTGTCGGATTGGCTTGTTCTCTCTCGGACACGACTCTTTACATACAGCAAAAGAAATGAAAGAGGAGAGAGCAAGAGAGAACCTGGTTGAAGATCCATTCAGTTAATCCAATCGAAGCTCCATCCGGTCGATCCAGTCGAAGATCGAAGCTCCATCAATCAATTGAACAGTCGAACAACCCAGACGACTTCGAAAAGCCTCTCTCTCTCTCTCTCTCGCCTTCTCTCTCTCCCTCGTGATTACGATCGATCACTTCGCTTTTCTCTCCCTCTCTCTCTCTCGTTTTATCTTCTTGACTTGATTCATATCTCTGTCTCTTGATCCATATCTATTTGTATCTATCTATATATAATAATAATAGTTAATAACTATTATTATTATATATTATATAATAATTATATAACATATAATATATTTATAAGATAATATATACTTATATATATTAAAAAAAATAAAAATAAACACATGTATGTAAAATAAAATAAAAAAATTAATTGGAACACATTATTTAAAAAATATAATAAATAAATAAAATAATTAATGTATGTTAAAATAAAAATATTTATAAAAAAAATTAAAAAATTTGCCGTGTCCCCTACCGTGTCTGTGTCCCCATTTTTTAGAAATTATCGTGTCCCGTGTCCGTGTCTGTGTCCGTATATGTGTCCGTGTCCGTACTTCATAGATTTTTATTTGTTATTTATATAATATAACTCATCTTCATATGATAATATATTTTTTTAAAAAAAAACTATTTAACGTATTCCCGTACCCGTATCCAAATTTGGATACATATCCACGTATCCTTAATTTTTAATTTTGAAGTGTCTGACCCCTAAATACGCGCTCGCACCCGATACCCGTACCTGAGTCTGCACAACATAAACTATAAGTTTGAACAAAACAACTTAAAATACAATAATAAAATAAAAATCATATAAATTTATAAGAATTAGTGTCATATTATATTTTTTATTATCTTTGAATGATATATATAACATATAATAAATATATAAAACTATATATTTCATGCGTGTCCCTCACATGTCGTGTCCTGCATTTTTTGAAAAAGCGTGTCGGCGTGTCCGTGTCCATGCTTTTTAGTAGAATTTCAATACATATTTCATATAATTTAACACATTTTTTTACATATATACCAACATTAACCACAGTCCATAGGGTGATAGTTAGCATTTCCCTAGATATATATATATATATATATAGCAGTCCTGTATAGTGCATGGTGCATATGTTAGCAAAAATAACAGAAAATTCAATACATCAAACTGGACAAAAATCACATGAAAAAGGGCAAGATAGTTAGCATTTCCCTAGATATATATATACATAGCAGTCCTGTATAGTGCAGGGTGCATATTTTAGCAAAAATAACAGAAAATTCAATACATCAAACTGGACAAAAATCAAATGAAAAGGGCAAGAGCTGGCATACCAGCGCTTTGCTGAGGATTAATTCCAACGCCATCTGCATAAATACAAATAACGGGTTCAACAAAGTTATAATAAGAGCAATTATAGGACATTAGAACAACTATTCAAGCATGCTGAAACTGTTAAAGTGACACGTCTCCAAAGGTAATAACTGAGGTCACAAAATCACATCTTCTATCGACTGAAGACGCCAGCATATAGTCATTGAACTATGGAAAAAATGAAGCTTTTTCAACAATTTTATTTTTCTCAGAGAAGATGTTGTGCTCAGACTTTGCAACACTTCAGAAGAGTCTTTAATAAAATAGTTTTCCCTCTTCCTGCATTCATTGTTTATTCAGTTCTACAGTAAGTGTTTCCATTCAGCAGAGCCGAGTAACCACCACAGCTAAAAACGCCAGTTTGGGTAATAGCCCAGTTGGTTGGAAGCATAGTAATCAAATTTGAATGTTTATTAGGAAAAAAAACCAGAGGTGGTTCAACCATTAAGTCACTTAGACCATTGCCTAAGGCCTCCAACAAAATTTTAAAAAATTCTTATTACCAATAAAATAAGGCCTCACTTTCATATATATCTAGCCTGAGCCCTTAAAAAATTTTGAGCCGCTATTGGGAAAGAAGATAACAACCTAAGAAGTTGGGATATGGACATAACAATTTTCAAAAGTTCAAGACAGATACTGTGGGGACATTGAGGTATATAAATAATTACAACATGATATACATGCATGAAAAAATATACATTAATTTTTTACATAAAAAATAATTTTTTTTTATTAAATGAAAATAAAAACAAATTACCTTATTCACAAAAAAGTTGATAGTTGCAAGAGTTTATGGTTTCAATTTCAAATATTAAATTAAAAAGCTTAAATATGGGATTCATACCTATATATCAAATTTTTTTCTTTATTTTCATCATTGGCCATTTTTTTAGTTTCTAAACTTATGCCAAGACAAAATAGATTTATTCCTATTAATTCCTCTTCCTCTAAACTTCATGAATTGTTATTATGTTAGAACATCTCCAACGCTTACTCTAATTTTTCATCAAATTTGAGTAAAGATTTGATAAAAAGTTTCATCTAATACCACGTTTTCCAACGCTAAGTTTTCAAGTTTCATTAAACAACCAGTTGACCAGGAGGACAACTGGCAATGGACAAAGCAATGGGCAACTTTGCAACCGGTCGGTCATCCGGTGTCTGGTGAAGTGCAACAGCTCTCTCCAAAAATTTGATGAACGTTGCAGCCTCTCTTGATTTGATGAAACTTTTGTTTTTCCCCCTCATTTGATATAGGTTTGATGCTAGGGTTCGAGAAGAAAAAGTAAGCGCGTTTCATCAAATTTAAATTTGATTCCAAATCTTAGTAGGTGTTGGAGACGCTCTTATGTAATATTTTTATTATCTTTTAATGAAATACATTCTAATCTGGCTGAATAAACAAACCAAGGGAAATCATGGCTTAGACATTTTGATGGGAAAAAAACACTAGTCATAACTTAATTCCCCAAACTTGGAGAACAAAATTGAAGAGTCCGATCTTGATGAATAAAACAACCGAACAAATAACTAATACAAAGTAATTTTACAAACCCTTCATGCCATGCAAAACCCAAAACAACAAATTCAAACAAACAAATATACAAATGCAAATGCACATACAAATTGATGCGTATATGTAACAAAGATAGTACCGTTGGTGATGATAGCGCTGGTCTGAGGAGGGACTTTAAACTCTTCGGCGGCGAATTTGAGAACTGCAGTGAATGGGGCTGCTTCGGGAACGCTAAACCTGAAAAATAGGAAGAAGAATCGAAATCGAATCAATCAATCGAAGTTGAACAGATTGAAAACCAAAAAGAAAAGGAGAGAGAGAAATTTGATTTTGCAGGTGGTGATGGGGGGTTTGTACGAACACTTTGAAAGGAAGCTTCGGATCGGAGGTGAGAGTGACCTTGAACGAGACCTTCCCACCACCAGTCGCCATTCTGAATTTCTAGGGTTTTATGATCTTCTGATTCGGAATTACGAAGATTAAAAGAAATCGAACAGAGTCGTTTCGCGTATTTATAACGCAAATTGTGGGATGTCGTGTCGGGGCTGTAGCTTGAATCCTAAACCTAAAAGGGTATATGTTATGGAAAATGCTTAGAGGTACCAAATTTTCTACTAAATAAATGATTAAATGTCTCACATGGGTGTAGGGTCTATAAAATTGCGGACTCTACACCTATGTGAGATATTTGGTCATTTATTTGGTAGAAAATTTGGTGTCCCTAGCATTACGTTATTCGTTCAAAATTTTTATCAAATAAACGATTAATCTTAAGAATAAATAAAGATTGAGATCCCTTTTGGGGTCACTCCCTTGCCCCCCTTGACCCCTTTAGTTTTGATTGGTCAATTTTTTTTTTTTTTTCACCCAATCCCCAACCTCCATGTGTGTGAGGGGATTGTGGGGGTGGATATTTTAAGGGGGTCTAAATCAATGCCCTAATCTTAAATAAATATGAAATTTATAAATTATATTGACGTGAAATATATGTAACCATTTGTTTAGTAGAAAACTTAATATCTCTTACCAAACCTAAAATTATGGTGGGATAGTGTTTAGTTTAATTAGGAACGTAAAAAGAAAATAATAAAATTTTGAATAAATTATAAATATATTTTTTAAGATTTATTTAAAAATTAAAATTTTTTATTTAACAGAATTAACAAAAAAAAATTCTTATTACTCCCTTATGTAATAATAAAATTATCTGAATTGTTAATTAAATACATATTGATATCACTAAAAATTGTTAATTGATTTGATAATTTATTAATAAAATTTGTCATATATTATGTGATTATAAATTTGGAAGGGCAGGATGTAATTTTCAAAATTACAGGAGTAATTCGTATTTTAAACAAATTTTAAATATTAGGATAAACTTCATTTTATCTCATGTAATTTGGATCATGTGTTGTTTATCTCCTAACGTTTAAAAATGACCACATAGTCCCTTTGTGGTTTGTGAACTGAAGTGCATCGTTAGGTCAAGTAACGATTTAATAAAAAATATTAAAATATCTCTATATTTTTGTTATTTGTTTAGAATGCAAAGTTCAATTTAATCCTTGTGCTTTATTCCACGTGCAATTTAACTCCTGTACTTTATTTCATGTGCAATTTTCCTTATTAAAATTTGAAAATGAGTATATAACTCCTTTATGTCTGCTATGTATTTCACACTTAATGTTAAGTTAGACAAAATATTTAATGGTATACTTCAGTCCACAAATCATGTAAGGCACCGTTTGGAAAGTGGTTTTGTGGGCTTTTTTTTGGCTATTTTAGCCACAAAAGACAAAATAGGCTATTTTAGCTACAACAAACAAAATATCACATCCAACTCATAATCATTACACTCTTCTCTCATAAAAAAGTCAAAAAAGCCAAAAAATTAAAAAGCCAAAAAGCCCTTCCCAAACCAAACTTTTTAGCCCAGGTTAAAATCTATATCTATACTATATATTAAACAAAAGGGGGTTTTTAACCCCAAGCCTTGTGGAAACTCCAATCTCCCAATCTAAATTTCCTGATTTTTTGATTTAAAAAAAAATCAAATCTTAGCATTTGTTAATATTTCCCAACTCCCAAGTCTTACCTTCATAATAACACTTTAATGCATTAAGAACAAGCATAAAAAAAATTCTTTGAAATCCAATACATATGAATTCCTTGAAAAGTCCCAACACATATGATTATTATCATTCATAATAACACTTTAATGTATTAAGAACAAACATAAAAAAAAAATTCTTGAAAAGTCCAACACATATGATTATTATCAAAATATTAAACTTTAATATAATATAAAAAAGGAAAAAAATAAGACATTTAAAAAAAAAAAACATGTAAAAATCACAATTCACATATATAGATAACTAGCCTATCACCCGTGCTATGCACGGGATAATTATAGATATTTATATTTATTTTAGATTTTTTTTAGTTATATAAATTATGTTTTTTAAGATTTTTTATAAAAATAATTTAACAATCTTATCACTAACCATAATATATGAGAGAAGTTGAAAAGGGTACTGCAGTAACTATACACGAATTATATCTATAATTATTTGTATAAGGGGATTTTAAATGCTGATCAGAAAATCTTGACCAAATCAATAAATGCAGGCATGTGAAAAGACACGTGGATTGAAAAAAGTTAATAAATGCTGATCAGGGGATTTTGACCAAATCAATAAATGCTGAGTTTTTTTTTTAAATAAAAAATTAAAAAATTAGAAAATTCAGATTGGGATATTGAAGCTCCCACATGCCTTGGGGTTAAAAACCCCATTTTGCTTAATATATAGTATATAGTATAGATAGCCTATCACCCGTGCTATGCACGGGATAATTATAGATATTTATATATTGTTTTAATTTTTTTTAATATATAAATTATGTTTTTTAAGATTTTTTATAAAAATTGTAACGCCCTCAAAATAACACATTAAACCCATCAATATAGACATGCATTGGTAATAAAGATAAGCATTCTTCTATTCATCAGAGTAATTCTTTACAAAAGTATTACATGTTAATCAACAAAAGTAAATGCCCTACGGGCTTACAGCTTTCCAAGTTAACACTTGGTTACAACAAAAGAGTGCTAACTCATTTACACATTAAGCCCTTGGCTTGAATATACATGTAATACATCAAGAAATAAAACAACAAAAGTCCCCCTGCCTCTAGCCTTCCAAGCTACGTCCTTGGAGGTGGCATGCTATCTGTACCTGAAAATGATATTCCCATATAAGGTGAGCCACAGCCCAGTAGAAATATACTAAACCAAGTATGAGCAATGACTAAAAGATTAGCAGTTGATAGATGGCCAACAGTGATACTTTCTCTTATCACACTTTACAGTTTCATGACATACAAGCATATTAACTAATCAATTCACTTTTCCCAATTCCTTTCAAATTTATTTATAACCAGCTCAGAATCCTGGCCAAAAACTATATGAAGACCAGTAACTACATATCCAAGCACCTCCCAATCTACATAAGCGGATAAGCAAACAAGCTATATTCACATTACTAACAGATAAGCATACAAGCTATATATCATCTTCCACAAGATAATGCTACTGAGCACTATCACACTTCCAATGATAAGCATATAAGCCTCTGCAACACATTACTTAGATCAAGCATATGCTCTATCTACGGAGTCCATCCCTATCTCCTCAACAACATCCGGTTAGAGTCCATCCTACTCCCCCTAAACCGCGGGTACATCCTCCATCTCTTCCAACACAACACAAATGCATATAAACAATAATATACACATCATCCACCAATACATAACATTAATGTATTCATTCAACCGTCATTACTCAATGACACATCCGGTGATTAGTTTTAGTTTGCCTAATCATCATGCATTGTCTACAACAACCAAGACTATCCTCCACGATAGCCAAAACAGTTATTCTCTATACAGAAAATAAATGCAACAAATGGATATAAAATCGACATTTCCAACTAGGTGATGGACAATAAAATCCAACTACACCCTTTAATCCCATGTATCCCAATTTCAACATTTCCAATTCAATTCCTCATTTCCCAATTAATTTTACAAATATTACTTAACCAATGTATTAGGCATTACCATAATTAACATTTCAACCCTTAGGTCTCCATTTTCATTAATGTTTTAAACATTAATTCCTCTTCTTCATGCAAACATGCATCTAGGTTTTATTATAGTTAAAACCCCAACTTTGTAAATTTGCACAAAAGTCTCAAAACTTTCACAAATTACCAAACTACTCCAACATCTCAAACTACACAG